CCCCCCCCCCCACCACACATACACACATACACCAGGCCGCTCTTGACTTTCGGAATTCGAAGTAGAGCATACATGTTAACAATATCAAGAAAAATCGTTTTTTACGCATGATTAGGGTCGGCATAATTATAGAGGTTGTAGTGTACTTGAAATGCCATGTTTAAGTGCAGAGGAATTAAAGTATTTAAACTGCCTTGTTTCTACAAGTGTCGCAGATGTTTTGTCCAGGATTGCATATTATTGTTCACGTTAACGACGCAAAATAAAGTGTCAATAAAAGTGCTTTTTGTCACTGCTTTGATGAGCGACGAAGCCTGCGATTTGGTATCTGGATCTTTCCTTCTGCTGATAGCCATTAGTGTCCTCACAATTGGAATTTAATTTGTTACAAAATTTTCTAGTGCAGACTGTGCAGTCACTCGTTCAATCCATCTTGTCCCCCACAATGACTGAAGGTTTTTGCTGCCATGATGAACAGTGGACACTGGATAAGTTAATAGCGTATCTTAAGGTAACTTTCTTCTTGTTGCCAGCAATTGGAAAGGATGTTATCTTCTTGACAGGGCTGACAGTGCTTATCATTTTTCGAATAACGGGAAGCTTTGACGCAATAACGAGTGCTCCTTTACATAAGCGCATGTTCCCACATTCGTCGAACTCATGACACTTGCGACATCATAGCTTTGTGCAACAGCTGCGTTGGGAGGTAAACCGCATTAATTTGTTCAATTTCCTTCAAAATTGCTTTCCCAATTACCTTTCCAGTAAGTTTCCCAGTGATTGTCTTCTTCGCATCTCTGCAGAAAATTATCCATTGTCATGGGAATGGAGTCTTGCTTTACAACAACTTCGCCGGGATTGCCGGGATTCGAACCATATTCTTTGTCTAAAACATCCAGGAAGCAAACGGAGTCTTCCCAAATTGTCTTCTCATTGCAATCGTAATAGCGCAAGAAAAGAGAGAGCTGTTCTACGGCTGATATGTCAGTTGTTTTTTGGGGGTTTTTTATCACATAAACACCTGCCTCTTTCACACGAGAAACAAATGTTTGCCGTAACTCTGCTCCAACGCATTCAAGATGATTCTTGATTTTGAATGTTTTCCTTTGAATGTTTTCCTTTCCATTCAAGCACTTTGTTAATTTTGTTTTCTTGTTTTCTTTATTTTATAAAGAACAATTGATCAAGTTGACTTGGCACGTAATAAACAAGCATACCAGAAAGACTGAGTAGAATTAATTTACTTTAATTAATTTTGAAGTGAGTATATATTGCAGTAAATATTTCCAAAGGGGGGAGGGGGAGCGGCTCCCACGATCCCAACGTTAGTTAGGATTACGGTTAGTTACATAGCCATTTAACACCTCTTCCATCTTCCGAAAATGACGTCAGGTCGGTTTGCTGGGTGGAAAATAGTGCTAACCTTATCAATAATAGGAGCGGGAACTTAAGAGACAGAACACCCTGCGTAGCAGTATTCGCAGGCACGAGGGAACGGGCAGCTTGAAAACCGCCTGCCCAAATTAAAAACTACACATTCTGAGTGTTCTCCGGCAGCTGGGTGACGGAGCTTTCTGATTGGTCAGAATTTTGATTTTGAATTTTTGATTGACAGGAGTAAAGAATTAAAATAATTAGTGCTAATTTTAGAAGTTAATGTGGCCGTATTAACTATTGTTATTTTCGCAATTGATACTGATCTATCAAGTGATGGCATACACTAACGAAAAAATTAAAGAATGTATTAATGGACCTTTCACCTTTTGACTAAAATTTTGATCTCAACAAGTCTAGACAAAAATTTTATCACAGCTTGAAAGAGCATCTCAAAATTAGTAATATTCCAAAGTTTCATTGCGAAATGTTGTAAAATGCGGATAATATAGCCTTGCGAAGTTTGCCATTTTCAGTCATTTTGTATTACGCGCGGGAAATACATACCTCCTTCGGAAAAAGGGTATGTATTTCCCGTTTGTATTACAAAATGACTGAAA